TTAGCCGCCCTGAGTCCCCTCAGGGAAAAGGGCGGCCTATAAATAAACCTATTCAATTGAATTCAATTCAATTCATTCATCGGGGTGATTGGACCCAATTATTTGCTTTTTTTTGCAGTGTTCGTGAGTGAATAATTGCAATGTTAAGAAAATCCATATTCATTAAACAAATGCAGTGCTTTTAATACAAACCCATTCTTCTGAATTATGCCTTTTGGTAGAAATTGACAAAAAATGCTGGAACATGGCAGAGCCATGTTGGCTGGCATGCGCAGTATTGTCCGTTCCTCTTCTGGGATTCTGGGGTGCATGCACACATGACAATCAGCTGTTTTTTGCATGTGCTGGAAACCAGTTTCTGTTGTGTGCATGCGCACCAGCCAGCTGATCGTCACGCACACATGCACGCGAGTAACCAGAACAACAAGCTGGCTGGTGCATATGCACATGCCGAAAACTGGAAGTCCATTTGCCATGTGCATGCCCATTTGGCAGCTTCTCTTCTGGGACACATCCCCAACGAGTGCACGCACACTCTCTTTTTAGCACTTGGTGATGAAAAGGTTCACCCTCACTGATATAGTGGGATAGTTTATTTCTCCTTAGCTCTTGAAACAAAGAGCATTGTAACTAAATACCAAGAAGAAATGCATATAATGTTCATATATAAATAAATGAATAAAACTCATGCATCAGAATGTCATAAAAGTGTATTATAGTTTGCCTGTTGTTTCAGGTCACTTGGTCAGAGTTCCATGTTCCCAAATAAGAATACAAATATGTAAATGCATTATTAGCTTTTACCATGCTGAGCCATCAGTAAAAGAATTTGAAGGTAAGTTATTTTATATTTTGATATATTTAATAAAATTAGTTTACCACGATGTTAAAAATATGAACAGTTTATCTATATAGTAAATGAGAGAGCAACAAGTTGGTTGAGGAAAACTGTAACATCATGTAGAATACAGATATTTCATATGAAATCTTACATGGTTGACTGTTGTGGCCCAGCAGGAGCCGTTGGAGCTGCCACCAGACTCCGACAGCGAGGGGCCCTATGAGTCGGCTCTGGAGGATGTGGAGGACCCTGGACAGAGTTTCGACTCTGAGCAGGGTGCAGAGAGGCTGGTTGGCCACCAGGAGGCGCCTGAGCCTTGGAGCAGTGGGGAGGAGACAAGGGAGTGTGATCGTGATGTCATGCATTGGAGCAGTGGGGAAGAGCCAAGGGAGTTGGATGGTCCTGGATGCACGACACCAGAGAGCTAATAGGCGTAAGGAACAGTTGCGCAGTTACAGGAGATAATTGCACTCAACCGGTGGTAATTAGGCTCCTCTCAAGACTATAAAAGGAATGATTGCGCATACGCCCTTTTATAGGAGTCATTGTATTCACTAATACATGGCTAGCTTGGCAGGCTGGATTGCTGTCAAGGTTAGTCTGTGCTGGATTGCTGCCACCACCTTGTCTGTGCTGGATTGCTGTCAAGGGAAATATTTATCTTTACAAATATATTTCAACCATTATGCCTTAGATGTCTGAATGAAATGTCACACAAGATACTATACTAGAAGTACGATGAAGAAAAAGGAAGGAACCTAGCCGAGATGGCTAAAATATTGGCATATCTTAAAGACCACTCAAATGAGAGATATAAACGAGACTGGAAAAAATGGATTGACTATACACA